ACATTTGTATAGCACTCTTAACACTAACTTAGAAACCCCTGCTCTTTTGTCACGGTGGAATTGTGTTATTAAAATCATTGATGGGAGAAGAACATGGGACTCTTGTTCTTGGGGTGATGAGTTCGAGCCCCATGTTGGGTATAGAGATTAGTTTTTTAAAAATCTTTAAAAAATACACTGACAGGTTTAACCACTTTGTAATATAATTGTGCTATGAAGCTAACTGGGAACTAAACAGAAAAAAAGTTAAAGGTGTTATTCATATACTTGTACCTTTGTAGTTTTCTCTGATTCATCCCCCCAGCCATCTAGAATATCTCCACCAAAAACAGTCAAGTGTTTCACGTGTTTTTGTGCTAATAATTTCAAAGAGCGCTAAAATGACCCCTTTTCCTCGACAAGGAAGTTAGCGCTCACCTAGCTTTCCGTGTAACCCCATCTAGTGCTTGCAGTGATAGAAAGCAAGAAACTGAGGTGGTATTTCTTCGTTTATCAAGCTAAGACCCCAGTTTTTAAACCCAAAAGTACTCATCCCAGTGGGTTGGGGGTGAATTTTCAAAATTTTAATTCTTTTCCTAGGCATTTATTTAGGTAGGGAGCGTTGGAAGAGTGTTTGAGGCTTTGGAGCCAAATGATGCTGTTGTGAGATGTTCTTCCCTTACTCACACTGCACGCCAGCAAGCCCAGTTGCTGCAGTGAACTCTGAGAGTACAGCTTCCTTATAGAACACATACCAAACTATTAACTTCTGCAGAACTATTCACTATAGAAAACACATTTCAGCCAGTGACAGAACACTCTGGCTGCGACCTACCTACCAGATCAGACGTGGAACACACAACCCTCGGTCGTCCCAATGTTCACTGTGCCCATTTGATGATTTTTAAAAAAACTTAAAAATCCGTTTGGGTAAACAGTGCCACGTAGACAGCGCATGTTTCCACTAGTTTCGAAAGTGTATCTTCAACTCCGTGCGTTTATAAATTTAAAGAGGGAATCTTTGCTGTAATTTGCATATGCTGGGCTTCTAATGAGCTTGAACGTTTTTCTCTCTGTTAACCATTTGGACTTAAGTCTTTCTGACTTGTGTGCTCATAGCATCTACATATTGTCGTTGGGGATGATTTTTAAATTGTGGAAATTTTTTTAGGCAAGATCAGCACGTTAGTATCACCCCGTTAGCCTGATAATTGCTTCGACTTTCTGTTTCTTTTGACCACCTTTGCAATGCTTTCAGTAAAATGATCAGACAGTGCTTCTATCTCTCCCCTAATGCTCTTTGAAAAAGTAATTGTTCTCTTTGAACAAGCATACAGCCGAGTGATTCATGTACACTTTGTGAAAGATGGCTTTGGTGCTCTGTGGTTGGTCATTGTTAAGAAAATAAGCTGTGTCGCGTGGCAGGGGGATGGGCTGGAAGGCCCGATGCACTGTACCGACGTTGCAAGAAGATTTGAATTTGGGACAGAAAAGTGACGAACATACTCTCTCCCATGAATAATTTTATAGCATTGATCCAGGCCGGATTTGCTTGATTTGAAGTCAGCATGTGAAAGTGAACCCAAATAGCATTTGTTTTAAGCAGAACTCTGAAATTCTTATTCTTACATGAATTTACGTAGAACAAATCTTTCCTGCACAACTGTCTTCTAAGTTTCAAAGCCATTATCTACTTATCTACTGTAAACACTTGCTTGTTCAAGTTGTGGGGCTGGAGGAAACAGAGTTGTTTTATTGTTAGGTAGTCTTAGAAGAATTAGTGGTAATGAATAATCCTACTGTGTTTCTTACTGCCAACATTGTCCTGTAGTATCAACCCTCAGACCGGGAAGTCATTTAGAACATGAAGTTGCTTTAGAAAAATTGTCCTGAGTACGTTAATCCCTCTGTAGGAGGGTTTCTCAATCTCAGCACTCTTGACATTTTTGCCTAAGCATATCTTTGCCATGGAGAACTTTCCTGTGCCTTGGTGGGAGGTTTAGCAGCATGCCACTAGAAGAAGGAAGCGCTTGAGACAAGTCACAACAAGTTGCACTTGCACAAGCACCCCCCTTACGATGACAAAACACGGCTCCAGTCGTCCCCAAATGTGGGGAGGGGAGAGACAAAACCCCCTTGGTCCCCTGACCCCTTCTGACAACCCCTGGTCTTTTTATGGCTTTGAACCACACGACTTGAAAAATGAGTATTTAAAAAACCGTTGTTTGTCCTTGGAATTACTCAGAGAATCATTCCTTTAAGGAGAGCTTTTACCTCCTTGCAGTGTTGGAAAGCAGTGCTCTCCACATCCAGTCAGTAAACTTAGTGGAAAGGAGATGGAAGAGAATTTTGAATCTGCTGAGAAGGTTGACATGGCATGTTTTGTTACTGATGCAGAAATAACAGGGAGGGCTCTGAATGTTAAGAAGTCAAAGTATGTTGATACAAAGTCATGAAGAAGATGACTTTAGTGAAGGCTTCTTCAGCATTTGAAGTCATTAATTAGAAAGCCAACCATTTTATCTTGCCAAGAAAGGGCTACATTTTCACATTCTGCTTTTCGATTTTAGGAGCAAGGGACAAATGACAAGCAAACAAGTTGTTATCTGTGATTTCTTCAAAAAAAGCAATTTCCAGGATATGTCATAGGCACAATGTGGCTTCAGCTTCATTCCTGTCTCTTTTACATCTGTGGTTCTATAAAAATCATAATTGATGGTCATTGAAAGCACTGCGTGAGGAAGAAATGTCCACAAAAATGAGATGCTGTGTTCATTCAAATGGCATGCTAAAATTCTCATGTGCTAGGTTTTGTGCAGAGAATACAGAAAATAATAGAACATTCTCCTTGGATATTTCATTAAAATTATTCTGTTTGAATGGAAATTTTCTGGTTAGGGATCCCAGTCACCATCAGTCTATTTCCCACTTGTCGCATTAATTCTGTACTTTTAGGGCACCTGGGTGGCTCAGTGGGTTAAAGCCTCTGCCTTCGGCTCAGGTCATGATCTCAGGGTCCTGGGATCAAGCCCCATGTCGGGGGTCTCTGCTCAGCAGGGAGCCTGCTTCCTCCTCTCTCTGCCTGCCTCTCTGCCTGCTTGTGATCTCTGTCTGTCAAATAAATAAATAAAAAATCTTAAAAAAAAAACAAAACTGAACATGCTTTAAAAAAATTCTGTACTTTTTAATGTTGGTCTGCAAAAGCTGTTTAAAAGGATGGGTGAGTGTGTGTATGCTATATGTCATGTATAGAATTTAATTCTTTTTAAGGCTATTTCTGAAATTAGTAGAAAGCTATATTCATTTTCTGCTATGCTTGTTAAAATCTTATTTAAATTATTCTCTTTATTAAATATCCATGAGGGTTGAATAAAACATTGTCATGTATTATTAATTCATTTTTGGTTATACTATGGCTCTAATATCCTCAAGAAGAATTGATGTCACCCTTGAGGCCAGAATTTTGCTAATTATTATAAGATTTAAAGCCATCTCGTTGATGTCTGGATTCCAAAAGCAGGATCTTAAAGTATGGTAGTCTTAAAGGTTTTTTTCTTGTTCAGACTGGTCAACTGAAGTTACAGGTATGGTAGGGAACAAGTGAAATCTTCACGATATTGGATAGGCCAGAGTTAGAAAAACAAACAATTTGGGGCGTCTGGCTGGCTCAGCCGGTAGACCATGTGACTCTTGATCTTGGGGTTGTGGGTTCCAGCCCCATGTTGGGTGTAGAGCTTACTTAAAAAATAAAATCTTAAAAAAGAAACAGAAAAGGGCACCTGGGTGGCTCGGTCAGTTAAGCGTCTGCCTTCGGCTCAGGTCATGATCTCAGGGTAGTGAAATCGAGCCCCATGTCGGGCTCTGCGCTCTGCTTCTCCTCCCTCTGCTCCTCCCTCCCTCTCTCACTTGCTCTCAAATAAAGAGAATCATTAAAAAAAAGAAAAAAGAAAAACAAATAATTCAACATGTAGGAAGTTCGAGGTAAATAGCAAAAGTGGAGCTCCTAGCGCTTGAAGATGTTCTCTTCCTCTTCCTCTCCCAGTGTCCGTATTAGCCGTCTACATCATGAACACACAAACCCATTCAGAGCCCCCCGCTCCCTGCTCTTGGGTGATTCAGAGACACTTTTGGCAGTGTGTACCTGAGGAAACCCAGGCCTGCCTAGTCTAAGGGGTAATAAAAGGTCGTACCATGGTAGTCAGTATCCAGTGTAACTGAGGTCCTTCATTAAATATCTTCCATGATCTCTGTGAAACAAGCTGACCTGTTGACTACAGGTTCTCCAATCCTTTTTATGGCCTGCGAAAAATTATGAATGTAATATATACATGGGCATAGCTCGCATTTATTATTTTTACTTTTTATTTCTTAGAAAAGATGGAAATGCCACTAGATGATAGCAATTTAACTGAATAATCCCAAAATGATGAGTGAGAGATATTGCTAGAAAAAGAAATTACTTCACGTGTGAGAGTTTTCGTTCCGCTAGGGGTTAATTAGAACTATAACTAATGACAGAAGAGGAAGCAGTGTATTACTGTCACAGTTAATCTTTGACTTTTATTAATGGGGTCTTTGGAATTTGGAATCACAGTAGATTTATGTTCGAATCCTGACCCAACTACTTTTAATATATTTGCGACCCTAGCTAACTTACTTTTAAACTTTTAAACTTTACTTTTAAACTTTTTTTTAGAGATTAAAAAAAAAAAACCCTTTGTGTGTGTAGTTTTGAATCAGCTTTTAGGTTGATTTCTCACTTCTAACTTTTTTTTTTCTGACCTTGAAAAGTTTTTTTACAAATAGAGAAGATAATTTCTTCTAGGATGTACAATGGCACGAGCCTAAAGCACAATGAAACAAAATTCCGTCTATATCGTAGTCAATTGATTGGCACTAGTAACTGGTTATTTCTCTAAACAATGCCATTATTGTGAATTATATTTCTGTAGTATATAAAAGTATAGTATATAAAAGGCAACTTTTAACTTGCCTTTCTTCTGATTTATCCACCTTTTCAGATCTCTAGTGGAAGAGGAGGACCAGCACATGAAATTGTCCCTTGGAAGCAGCGAAATGGGTCTCTCATCCCATCTGCAGTCTTCCAAGGCAGGGACCACACGCATCTTTACCAGCAATACCCACAGTTCGGTGGTGTTACAGGTAATCTAAACTGTCCCTTGTATAATATTTAAATGGATTTAAAAACGACCCAGGGTGTTTGTGGTGTGGGATGTCAGTAGTGGGGGGCAAGGAGCGTGCATGTGTGTGTGGACGGGGTACCCATGGGAACCCTCTGTCCCTGTTGTTCCATTTTGCTGTGAACCTAAAACTGCTCTAAAAAAATTAAGTTCATTAATTAAAAGAAGAGCAAACAAACCTCAAGGAAGAAACCTTGAGGGGAAAACTACATACTTTCCTGATGTTAAAACAAAAAAACAGAAAAAACAAACCCAGAGTTTACTGTTTGTTTGGTTTGTATGAGGGAGGTCTTGCTGTTGGCCACTTTCTTATAGAATATTATGTCTGACAACATTGACTTTCCATTCTGTCTCTGCCGATATACATATCACCAAGTCCCTACACTGAATTTCCTGGTTCCTCACTCGTGACCTGTTTTACTGTCACCTTTATCATAGTTCTGAAGATCATACTTAACTTGGTGTCTCAGCTCGCATTGATGATGGTAGGTGTGGGAGTATGGATAAGGATGGCTGGATGCAAACACATTGTGAGATGTAAGAGCTAATAACTGACCTCAAAGGAGAGGACAGAAATACAATAAAAAGCCAAAAAAAACCCAAAACAAAACCCCAACCTATCAAAAACTGCAACCTGGAGCTAATTAGCACAAGGACAAGCAGTCCTGATAATTCCCGTGGTTGTGGACAACCCCTGACCTCTGTTGCATGGCTGAATTAGGAAACAATATACTACTGGATGTTCCTCAATGTATTCTAGATAGACCCAAATTATATCAGTGCTCCCTCTAGTAAGATAAAGAAAAATTGTTCTGAATGTATTTTTCAAAGCAATCTCCCCAGGTGAATTTCATGCATATTCCTGGTCAATGACCATTAAGGTAAAGCAGTATATAGTATATAGTATATAGATATGGAGTTTGGTGGGCAGTATAGCATATAATGTAATAAGAGAGCCGTCTGCTTGCTGTATGACTTTGTTGGGTCATGTAATTTTTCTGGGCTTCATTTGTCTTATCTCCAAAATGTGTCTTGACTAGGAGATCTCTAAATTCCATTCTAGTTCCCATACGTAATTCCATGAGATCATATCTTCCATTATTTTGGTTTGTAATGGGAGCTAGGTTTTATGGTTTGTTGTGCTGTGGGTCTCATCAGCAGAAATGTGAGGGTCAGGAGGGAGAAGCTTGTAATTTTTCTGGGCTTCATTTGTCTTATCTCCAAAATGTGTCTTGACTAGGAGATCTCTATGTAAATGGTTTGATTATTGGTTATTCAAGGCTATGGAACCTTAGAAACTTTGTGCTAAGTGAGAGAAGCCAGTCAGAAAAGGCTGTATTTTATATGATTCCATTCAGACAGAATGGCCAGAAGAGGGAAATATATAGAGACAGAAAGTAGACCAGTGGTTGCCTAGAGTTGGAGAGAATGTGAGGATATGAAGGCGCTAACGGCTCCAGGAGTTCTTTTTGAGATGATGAGAATATCCTAGAATTGACTGTGAATTTGGTTGCACACATTATCTGTGAATGTGCTAAAAGCCACTGAACTCTACACTATAAATAAGTGCATTGTATAGCATGTCGATTCATCTCAATAAAGCTGTTAAAGTTACAGGACGGTATGTAGTGTATAACCCATCTGTTGGCAGAAAAACTATACAATAAATGGGGCGCTTGGGTGGCACAGTTGGTTGAGCACCCGACTCTTGGTTTTTGACTCAGGTCCTGATTTCAGGATCATGAGATCGAGTCCCATGTTGGGCTCCGCTCTCAGCAGCTTGAGATTCTCTCTCCCTCTCCCCCTCCTGCTTGTGCTCTCTCTCTCTCAAATCAATCACTTTTTCAAAAAAGAAAAAGACTATATGATATATATATACATATATATGAATGTAAATGCACAGCAAAAGGTCTGGAAACATTGGGGAGGCTGGTGAATGTTATCTTATATTTTCTGCTCTGTACAATCTTGCACTGTTTAATTTTTTTTTTTTTACAATGGAAATATGTTTGTGTATAGCCTGTGTACTTTAAAAAAGATAATTGTTCTCTTAACTATGGGAAACAAAGTGAGGGTTGCTGGAGGGAGAGGGGTGGAGGGCTGGGGTAACAGGGTGATGGGCATGAAGGAGGGCACTTAATGGAATGAACACTGGGTGTGAAATGCAACTGATGAATCACTACATTCTACCCCTGAAACTAATACTACGCTATGTTAACTAAATTGAATTGAAATTAAAAAATTATATATTATGTACATTATTATATACATATAATATATAATTGTTATATATTGTTATATATATTGTTGGTATATATATATATATATATAATTATTGACAAAAACCAGTATGACTGGGTCTTTGATACTTAGACACTTGGTGATATTACCTTGTAGTTCAGCCTTTGTTGGTCCTGACTGGTGAAAGTAACTAGAGAGTTCGTATCGAGTAAAGGTGATCTTTCATCAGCTGACTTTTGTTGTTGTTGTTGTTGTTATACTATTTTCTGTAGTGGCATGGAGCTACCCACTGTCTATCATTATTGCTGAACTTTGCTCTCTTTAAAAGTCCATTAAAGATGATGTTCTCACAAAATGGAGATTTTTAAGTAGCAGCAGTAACAGAGAACTTTTTCCCTGTATCTAATCTTAGGTGTGTGGTTGTCAAGGGAACAAGTTGGAGAAGTGTTTAATGTGTAAAAGTTATCATTGTTTTAAAATTAGCAATCACACAAACTTCGGCTTCAAAAGGCATCGAGAGTCACTGTCAGGGGAAGGGACCCATGGGGAGAAAGTGTTTTCAGAAGTCTCACTCTGCAGGGTTACCCACTGCATACCTCTAGTGGGACAGACATGAATTTAGGCCAAACCTGGAATCCTAATTTTACCCCTAGTTATATGACCTTGGGAGCCCTCCATCCTCTCTGGGCCAGTTTCCTTATCTATAAAATGGTTAAGAGATGGAGGATTAAATATGACAATTGATGGGAAAGTGAGGTGCATCATAAATATCCATTTTATTTTACTTCCATTTGAGCCAAAGAAAAAAAGTTGTCTCTGTTAAACAGGCTTTCGCAAACTCAGCTGTCGAAGAAAGGGCCTAAAGAATCGTGATACCTATTAGGCTTGGATTCCTAGAACCTTGAACAGATCTCCAGAGAATCCATGATGTAGTTAGCAGAGCAAATTGCTTTCACTCAATTAAGGAAGGTTAACCAGGGTTTGCTTGAGTAGTAACTGGTAAAATCAAGGACTATCTCATTTTCTTCACTCCTTTAGTGCTACTGTAGTTATGGTTATTTCCTATGGAGAGCTTCCTACCTTTGGCTTCACCTATTATCCCAGGTTGTCAGCATTTTTCTTTTACTGCCCCAGTTTATGGTCATTCATTGCCTCATACTCTTCCTTGGCACTTTTGTGCCTTAAAAACAGCTTTATGGAGATATAATTCATATACCATCTAATTCACCCGTGTAAAGTGCATAATTCAGTGGTTTTAGTTTTTAGTATACTCACGGGCTTTTGCAAATATCACCACAATCTGTTGGAGAACATTATCGTCTGCTCCAAAAGAAACCTTGTATCCATTAGCAGTCACTCCACATCTCCTTCCAACTCTTTCCCCAAACCTAAGCCACCACTAATCTACTCTCTGTCTCTATAGACTTGTCTATTCTGAACATTTCCTACCAATGCAATATATGGTCTTTTGTGTCTGGCTTCTTTCACTTAGCATCATGTTTTCAAGGTTCACGCATGTTGTAGCCTGTATCAGTGCTTCTTTTCTTTTTATGACTGAATACTATTCCATTATATGGATATACCACTTTTTAAAAAAAAAATCATCCATTCATTGATGGACATTTGGGTTTTATTTTTTCTACTTTTTGGCTATTATGAGTAATGTTTTGGCTATTATGAGTAATGTTGCTGTGAACCTTCAGGGAGAAGTCTCTGTGGACATGGTTTTATTTATCCATTTATCTTTCATGTATACCTAGGGGTGGAATTGCTGGGTCATACAGTAATTCTGTGTCTTAAACTTCTGAAGAACTGCCAGGGTGTTTTCCAATGTGGCTGCCCCATTTGCCATTTCCACCCACAGTGCATGAGGATTCCAATTTTAGCACATTCTTGCCAACACTAATTATCTCTGTTTGAGTGTAGCCATACTGGTAGGTGTGACACGGTATCTTGTGGTTTTGCATTGTACTTCCCTGATGGCTGATGATGTTGACAGTCTTTTCATTTGTGCTTATAGCCATTTGTCTATCATCTTTTAAGAACTGTCTATTCATATCCTTTTCCCAATTTGTAGTTGGGTTATTTATCTTTTTATTCGGTCATAAGAGTTCTTTGTATATCCTAGATACAAATTCCTTATGAGAACATGACTTACCAGCATTTTTGCCAAGCACCTTTGGTTTTATAGTCCTTTGTTGTTCTGTCATCACTGCCTGGCCAGTCCCCTGTCCTTTTTCATTTCAGTCATATGATCTTTGCTTCTGCTTAACCTTACTAGAGTTCATAGGACAGATGGTCAAGGCAAACAGCTTGAAGACTTCTGACTTTTCACTATTCTCTACATGTATATTTTTTTCCACACTTCAGTCTTTGCACCCACTTCCTATCCCTAAAATGCCCTTATTTTACTTTTTGTTTCTGGTAAACCCCTGTTTATTCATAATGACCCATATTAAGCAGTAAGTGATAAAACTAGAATTCTAGCTTTGCCCTAAACTCATGTCCTTCCCACAACAGTTATATAATGGATAATCCTGCAGAGTGAGACTTCTGAAAACAGTCACTCCCCAGGGGTCTGTCCCCCTGACATCTACTTTAATTGGCTTTTGAAGCTAGAGTTTGGGGGAGCCAGGCAAAGTTTCCAGCTTCTTCTAGTCCTCCCTCTTAACCCTTGTTAATATGACCTATCAGTGAGATTCACTATATGTGGGATCTAAT